AATCATGTAGAAGGTTCCGGGCTGTGTGACGAAGCCGATGGCCTGCAGGGCGCTGAGCGAGGCCGTGTTTTGGGGCAGCGTGCAGCAGTAGATGGGGAAGCCGCGGGCGTGCAGCGCCCGGCCCATGGCGGCCAGTGTGATGCCGGTGAGGCCGCGGCCGCGCCAGGCGGGCACCGTGTAGCCGTGGCGCAGGCAGCCCTGGCCGTCCAGCAGGCTCCAGGACACAGGGCGGCCGCGCGGGCCCAGCAGGCAGGCGGAGGGCAGCGCCCGCACCAGCCCCAGCAGGAACGCCCGGCTGCGGGCATTGCCGCCCAAGGCCCACGTGGCGTTGAGCAGCGGGACGTGGGATGGGGACACGGGTGCCAGGCGCAGGCCCGGGGGCAACCTGCAAGGGGGCATGGCAGGAGTGGGGAATGCTGAACCCCTGCGACCACAAGGGATGGCGGCTGGGATGGGGCTGGGGTCCCCTGTGCCACCCAGGGGTGGGACTGGGGGTGGGACTGGGGGTGCCTGTGTCACCCAGGGATATGCTCTGGGACTCCTTGTGCCATGCAGGGATGGGATTGGGGATGCCAATGTCACCCAGGGACCCCTGTATCACCCGGGAGTGGGATTGGGAACCCTTGTGCCACCCAGGAATGTGCTCGTGGACCCCTGTGTCACCCAGGAGCGTGCTCAGGGACCACCCATGTCACCCAGGAACCCCCTGTGCCACCCAGGAATGTGCCTGGAGACCCCTGTGCCACCCAGGGATGTGACTGGCCCCCCCATGCCCCTGAGTCCCTGGTGCTCCCGTGTCCCCAGTGCCCCCTTCCACTCCAGTGCCCCCACATCCCCCAGTGACCCCACACCCCCCGGTGACCCCGGTGTCCCCGTACCCTGGGTGCCCTCACTCACTGCCCACGGGGTCGGGGGGGCTCAGGGCTCATCAATGCCAGGTACCGGATCGTCTCCACCTGCAGCCCCTTGGCACCGGCCGCCTCTCGCACGGCCTCATCCAGCCCCTCCTGCATCCCTGGGACAGCCTGTCAGCCAGGCAGGGGACAGCAGGTGGTGTCCCCGTGTCCCTCCCAGGGCCATCCTTACCCAGTATCTGGAAGGCTCGTCCCTGGACCACTGCCTCGGTGCCCCCCAGGAGCGCCTGCAGGGCCCCCTCGTCCCGGTAGAACACGGCCAGCTGGTTGAGGTAGTGATCCCTGGGGTCCTTGTGCTCCTGGAGGGCAGACAGGGGGGCTGAGGGTGGCACCCCAATTCCCAGCCCCCCGGGGTGCGGGATGCTGCCAGGGTGGGGGCAGGCGGGGCAGCACCTCTGGGCGCAGGCGGGTCAGGACGATGCCAAAATTGGGCCAGGAGTCCACCAGCACCTCGTGGGCGGCCGGGTTCCCCCGGGCCACCGTCACCACAGTCCCCAGAACCTGCAGGACAAGGTCCCTGTCACTGGCAGGGCAGGGGAGAGGGGACAGTGGGGTTCCCAGAGCCCCCGGCGTCTCCGTCACCAGCAGGGGAGAAGGAGCAGTGGTGTCCCCCGGGGTCTCCGTCAGTGGCAGGGCAGGGGAGAGGGGACAGAGGGGACACGAAGTTCTTGTCACCAGCAGGGCAGGGAGAGGGGTTCCTGGGGTCCCCATCACTGGCAGAAGAGGTGACAGAGGGGTCTCCAGGGTCCCTGTCACCAGAAAGGTGGAGGGGGAGGCAGAGGGGCTCCTGGGGTTCCCGTCACTGGCAAGGCAGGGGGGAGGGGATAGAGGAGTCCTTGGGAACTCTGTTACCCGCAGGACGGGACAGAGGGGACAGAGAGGTCCCTGGAGTCCTTGTCACCGGCAGAACAGGGCAGAGGGGACAGAGGGGTTCCCAGGATCCCCGTCACTGGCAGAATAGGGGGGAGGGGACAGAGGGGCCCCTGTGATCCCTGTCACTGGCGAGGCAGAGGGGACAGGGGGGTCCCTGGGGTCCCTGTCACCGGCAGGGTGGTGGGCAGGCTCTTCCGCAGGGTCTCCTCCAGAAGCCGCAGCTGGGCTGGGCACCTCAGGATCTGCATGGCACCGAGACCGTGGGGCAGGCGGTGACACCGAGGATCCGTGGGGCTCTGGTGGCACGGGGGCAGAATGTCCCAGACGAGCACCCGTCCCCAGGCGGCCCCAGGGCTGGCCCCATGCCCAGTGCCCGGCAGGATGGACCCTGCCCGCTGCCTCACAAGGCAGGGGGCACTCGCTGGCCCGTGACGGCTCGTGGTGGCCCTGGGACCCGCTATTGTCACCACCCGCCACACGGTCTCCAGGCTCCCACTCCACAACCCCCTGGGACCCACAGCTCCAGGACTGTTGCAGGGTGAGTGCTGGAGGGGCTGGGAACCACGCAGGGCTGGGGAAGGGGACAGGGCTGGGGGCCAGGCCTGGGGGTCCTGTCCCTCTGTTATCAAGGGTCTCTTGGCAGGACCATGCAGATCCTGACGAGCCCAGCCCAGCTGCAGCGCCTGGAGGGCATCCTGAAGAAGAGCCTGCCCCTCGCCCTGCCGGTGACAGGGACCCCGCTGTCCCCCCTGCCCTGTGCCATCCCTGCCCTGTGACACGATGAGTACCCCAATGCCACGCTGCCCTGCCAGTGATGGGCACCCCACTATTTGCCCCTGCACCAGGGACCTCAGCGTCACCCTCATGTCGTGCCGTGACTGGGACCCCAGTGTCACTCATCTCTTGCCATAATGGGGACCCCAGTATCACCCCTGTCCCTTGCCCTGCTGGTGATAGGGACTCCCTGTCTCTTGCCTGAGTGGGA